AGCTTTGGTGTGACTTGTATGCAGTTTTACAGGCAGAAACCTCCTGAGAATGCCCTGCTTGTTCTTCCAAGGCTCTGATATGATCATCTGCACTTCCCCTTCTGTGTCTGAGGCTGCTGTAAAGTGATACCAGTTCCCATCTCTGACCCCTTCTTGCTGGTACCTTGTAACCAACATTTCTTGCTTTATGGAGTTGTGCTGGCATTGCAGTGCCTGACCTGTGGGAGGAAGGGCCCAGTTTGTACAGAACACTAAGTCCCTCCTGAAATGGGCTAAAAATGGGTATTTTTTCACCTGTTTAGAAAGGAACAGTCATGGTCTCTGTGGTGCTTCTGTGCTTGGAGCTGTGCAGCAATCTGTGTTGGTGCCCCTATTGCTTTAACAAGCAGTGAGCTCTGTAGGGCAGGGAGCACGTGCCCTTGGGATGGCTCTTCTCCTCTGGAGTAGGCTCTGAGAAGAGCCTTCTCTCTCCAGCCTTTTCTGGAGATGTTGGGGAGGGAAAAATGGAAGCAGATTTCTTCTCTCATGTTTGGGAACTAGGCTTTAATCAAAGCAAGAGTGATTTGCAATAGGAGAAAGGCACTCAGAGTCACTCTTGTTCCCAGCTGTATGTGCTGGGACAGTGTCACAACAGGAATACATTCCTGGATGTCACACACAGCTCTTGTTCCTCTCCCACTCCCCAAAGCAGAGAGTGGTTGGCTCTGATTCCTGCTCTAGTCCTGTAGGGGCTGGTGAGAGCCACCACCACCTGCCATTGACTGGGACATTGCCCTCCTGCTGGGTGGTGTTTAGCCCAGCTCAGAGCCATGTTGCACCTGAGGTGGCTTTGGGTGGCCCAGCAGACACACACGAGCAGGGCAGGATGGCCTCATCCAGCTGTGGCACTGGCTCGGGCTGTGTCTGCCACTGTGCTGTCACCACACCACGTGAGGAGTGTCTGGGTGAGTAATTAAAAAGAACTCAATTTCTATCACTTCCCTGTTAATTGTATTAATGGTGAGAAGCCTAAGTGGGCACTAATTGCTCTGTGTTAAGAACGCTGTAGGATACAGTGGTTGATGGGGTACAGTGATGCTGTCAACGCTGTGCTCGTGGCCCTTGTGGGATTCTGTGTCACTTGCCAGTGAGTCTCGCCACATCCATGTGTTGGGGCTGCATGGGATTAGGCTGCAGGGTTAGGGAGAGGTGACTCTGCCTGGGGCAGGCTGGTGCTTGATGCTGGTGCCTTTCTGATGATAAACCCTCACCACTGTGCTGTACAAAATATTAAGTGTTTTGGTGCCCTTTGATGCCTTGGAGGAGCCTTGGGTTCCACTTTGATTTTGTGTGGGACAAACAAGTGGGTCAGACTTGGCCACTCTGGGTGTCCCAGTGGGGTTTTTCCACCGCAGTAATTTTTCTTACTTGGATTTATCTGCCTCAGCAGTGTCATCTGTTTGTGCTCTCTTTTATCTGTGTTCTTTGCTGATTTAATCTGGGGAAGTAAAGTCACACTTTTCATTTGCTCTGGCATTTTGATCCTGTCCCATCCTTGTTTGTTTGTGTATGACTCTTTCCTGGTAAGTGTGTTGCTGCATTTTCCTGGAGGATTCCTGTTTGTAGCTGTTCTGTGGAGGGTTACTTCAAGGAGTTTTTGCTTTCCTTTATTTTCCTGCCAAAGATGATGGTATTTAGCATCCCCCTTGTGCCCATAGCTGCAGAGCTCTGTGTAACAGAGCCCTTGCAACACCTGCCTAAGGTAGGTCAGGGTGGTTTTATGGGCTGGGGACACACATGGGAACACATGTGGTAGCCTGGCTAAAATCCTTTGTAATGGGTTTGGAAATAGAACCTAGAGGTGGAGCTGCAACAGGCTTTTAATGCTTAGAAAATATAGATAAGCCTTGTAGAGACACTAAATATCCTCAATGTGTAGATGTCACAGTGACTGGAAAAGAGGATGCCTCATGTCTTCCATCTTGAAATTTCCATGTCCTTTTAGTCCTTGGTGTGATATTTACAGAAATGCTTTCTTAAAGTGCTTTGTCTTCTGCTTGGGCAAACTCCAAGGTGCTTGTGACAGTGCTAGAGAGGATTAGTGCATAACTTTGGTCTTACCTTGAGAGCTCTGAACTCCAGCAACTGGTTCCTGGTAGCTGACAATGGAGAATCTTTTTTTAGCTACTAAAAACTGTGATATAAATCTGTGGAGACAGTTTGATGCCATTCTTGTTTGTTAGTTTGGCTGTTGACTCCTCGTGTGTGTGGCAGCTTTTGTGTGTGCAGCAGCAGTGGCAGAGCCCAGGGGGTGTTCTGCCCACCAGTGTGTTCCCCCCTGAGCTCCTCAGAGTGATTTTTCTCATGCTCTTTGTGGCTGGCACTGACTGCATTTCTTGTTTGCTTGTGAAGGAAGTGCCTCTGGAGGAAAAAAATCCTCCTTCTCACTGCAGGAGGTGACTTAGCAGGAAGATGGAGAGAGCTTCAGTCTGAACATGGAACTGAAGCTGTGGTTTCCACTTAGAGAAGTCCTGCTGAGTTGCACTGTGTATTTGTTAGAGGGCCCTGAAGTCGTTCTTAGTGGAGCAGTGACAGTGTGGCTTGAATGTGGCAGTTATGTTTCTCAGTGGTGTTCCAGTTCCATGGGAGACACCTGTTCATCCCAAGGTGCTGGAAATTCTGCCTGGAGATGCTCTGGAACCATGTGTGGGGCTCATTCTGACAGTGTGGGCAGCAGGTGACGGGGGAATTCTGCCCCTCTGCCCCACTCAGGTGAGACCCATCTACACTGCTGCCTCCAGCTCTGGTGCCCCCAGCACAGGAAGGACATGAAACTGTTGGAACATATCCTTAGAAGGCTCTAAGGTGATTAGGGGGATGGAGCATCTCTCCTATGAGGAAAGGTTGGGGAAATTTGGATTGTTCAGGCTAGGGAAGAGAAGCTCCAGAGTGACCTAATTGTGGCCTTCCAGGACCTGAAGGGAGCTGACAAGAGAGATAGAGAGAAATTATTTACAGTGGCCTGAGGTGACAGGACAAGGGGGAATGGCTTCCCACTGCCAGAGGGCAGGGATAGATGGGATATTAGGAAGAAATTCTTCACTGTTAGGGTGCTGAGGCACTGTCACAGGGTGGCCCAGAGAAGCTGTGGCTGCTCCATCTCTGGAAGTGGTCCAGGCCAGGTTGGACAGGGCTTGGAGCAAACTGGTTTGGTGGAAGGTTTCCCTGCCCATGGCTGGGGGTGGAATGATGGTATTTAAGTCCCTCCAACATAAACTATTCTATGATTCCATGAGTCTCATTCACTGGGGACAAGGCAGTTCTCTGACTCTGATCCCAGGTAAGCAGCTGCTGTGGTACTGAGACATCCTGCACAAGCATTATCTTCACAGTTAATCAAATAAAATGTTCTAAAACATCATCTTGTGAAATCTATTCCTAAACCCCAGCGTTCATGGTTTCCTGAACCTCAGTGCAAGCATAAACTGCTGTGGTGTGTCTCAAGTGGAGAGGCTGTGTCAGGTTGGCTGCGTGTAGAGAGTATGTGCAGATCAGCCTTTTAATTTGTTACTTCTGGGAGGGATGGGAAAAGGTTTTGGAGCACCTACATTTGTGTTCAGGGAACTTCTGTATGTGGCACTTAGTGCTCTGGTCTAGTTCACAAAGTGGTGATCAGTCACAGGTTGGACTTGATGATCTTAGAGATCTTTTTCAACCTAAATGATTCTGTGATTTTTCTATTCTGATTCTGTAGGACAGATTCTAAGTAGGTTGTGGAGCTGTGCTGGAGGTGATTGCTGTATCTGGAAAGCAGGATGTGTTTCTCTGCTAGGAACATCTGGATGTTTGTCAGCTGAGCTCAGCAGTAGCTGAGCACTACCCTTGTCAGTGAGGCACTGCCATCTGTGCAAAGTAACAAGAGCCTTTCTTGAAGCATAAAGGAAAAAAGCCTTAATGGAAAAACCAGAGCCATTCATGAAACCCCTTCCATTTCAGGGTAAATCATGCTGCTTCTAGCCAGAGGGACTGCAAATCCCTCCACAGCCATTCAGATGGTTACTTACTGCTTCTGTAGTGACTCACTTTAACACGGATTTTGTGCTGTCTATGCATTGCACCCAGGGAAGGGAATGCATGTTTGTCTCAATCCTCTCATCCCCCACTCTGGAAGTTGAAGGGACATGGCTTGGGTGGAGCCTTTTATTTCAGTTCTCTCCTGATACTTACTCTGTGAAGTGGCAGCTTCATGGAGTTCATGTTTGGGAGTGTTTTTTGAAGTCTGTCTGGGAGGATGCTCCGTTTGTGATGCTTTCATACACCTGCATTGATTCTGTTGACTTTGAATCCAGTGCTCCAGAATCCCAGTGGCCTTGAACATGCTCCACCTCCTGAAATCTGCACCTTAGTGCATCACCTTAAAGGTGAATGACACAAACGTGTGGTGAACCTTTCAGAGCTGAAGTTCTCTTGTTTGTCTCTCCCAGACATCCAAGTTTTTGCATGCAGAGCTGTCAGTGTTATTAGTGAAGCTCAGCACCAATGTGTACAGTCTGTAGCACTCACTGGAAAGGTTTTGTGTGGCTCTTGCCTGGGATATGGGAGTAAAAACTTTGCCCAGCAGGAGCTCTGGCTGTGCAGGGCTTTGCAGTGAGAGGAAGCCTCATCCTTCTCTGAGCAGGTCAGTGATGGTTGTGGAACTGGAAGGTGGAGAAAACAGGAGAAATTCATCAGAATTGAGCCATATTGGAAAGAGCTGATTCTTATTGCTCCCTGTTCCCTCTCTGGAAAACAAGTTAAAATGGAATGATCTCTAGTGTAATGATTTATTCTAGGTTTTTGGTTTGTTTGTTCCCCTGCTCCTGCTGTTGGCAGTGGCCCTCAGTAGTACAGGGAAGGAGTGAACCAGCAAGTATTTTCTGTGTCTTGTGCTCTTTTATGCTTGTTAAAACCTGCACAGACCTCTCTGGAAAGCATTTGTTTAGTGTTTTATTCCTTTGTGGGTTTTTTTTCTAGGAAACTACTTTGCAAGTCACTTCTTTATGGGAGGTGAGAAGTTTGACACCCCTCACCCCGAGGGCTACCTTTTTGGAGAGAACATGGATCTCAACTTCCTTGGGAATAGACCTGTTCAGGCAAGTTCCTATATGCTGTTTTGCTCTTTTGTTTCCTGCCTGTCTTGGAAGATCTCGTATAGGGCTTGTAGAGGAGGATGGCACAGACCTGAGAGGTCCTCACTGCCTGGGGAGTGATTCCAGTCTGATCAGATGCAAGCAGAGCTTTTTCTAAGAAGCTTTCTTAGAGGCTTATTGTCACTTGGTGCAGAAGGAATTAGTAGTGTGGGAAGAAGGACAGGGACTCAGGAGCACAGAATTTGGGGCTAATTTTGCCTGCCTGCCTGGATGAATGTAAAACATGCTGCAGAGAAGGGTGGGAAGCAGATCTGCTCTCATAGCCTGAACTTCCCAATGCTCCTGGGCAAGCTGCCCACTCAAGTGATGGCTTGTTCTTGATCAGGGACTAGCACTACTGTGAGGGACACATAGAAATTTTGTACTATACTTAGTACTATGTTTTGGATTTCTCTTGCATCTCACAACTGCTTAAAAAGAGCCAAAAGGTAACCGAATAGGAGCCATTTGGAGATGTTTTCAGAGTGCTGGAGAGGAAAGGGAACAGAGCTGCTTTCTTTGCCAGCTGTTTTCATAGCTGTTTCTGCAGCTTCAAAACAGAAAACTGAAAAATTGAAGTCATGGTTCTCATCAGAAAAGCTATGACCAGTGGTTAATTCATGCCTGTAGTGCTTGAGTCACTTTGGTGTCACCCCAGTGTTACAGATGGGGAAACTGAGGCAAGGGGACTCAGTGTTTGAATTGGAATGGTGGCAAACACATTCTGCTTTCTGAGCACAGTCAGGTAACAGGACTCTGCAGGATAGGACAAGGAAGAATCTGTAAAGTCCTTGTTCAAGCAGAAAGTGCAGTTGAGCAAGAGAATTAGGAAGGAGGAACTTCAGCTGGAAGTGGTGCTGGATGTGTCAGTGCCATGCAGGCTTGGGGTGCTCACCACCCACCCTGGGCCATGTCTGCACACAGGGCCCTGTGACTGTAGGGACTAACCTTGCAGAGCTAAATTACCTGCATGTCTCAGCCTGGGCTTCCTTGCTGACATCCCAGCACTGAGCTTTGTCATTTCTCCAGAGGGGAGTGGGTGAGATGTCATTAACGCTGTGGGATGTTTGCCAAGTAGGCTTAAGGAAGGGAGGCTGTTGTGGAATATAGTTTGCCTATGTAAAGGTAAAGCCCTTTGGCAGCTCTGATTAGTCTTCAAGGAAAAAACCCACTTGAACACAAAGCAGCGAAACTGTTTTCTGGATGTGGGCCAAGTTCTTGCTTTGGAGGAACTAAGGCCTTGACTGCTCAGCATAGGGCAGAGCTACCGAACACAGTCCTGGGCAGATGATGCAAGGAAAGAGTTGCTGCTGCCCCATGAGTCCTCTGCTGTCTGTGGCACGGGGTCTCCTGTGTCATCCTCATGTTGGTCAGGAAGCAGCACCTTTCCCCTCAGCTCTGGTCATTGCCCCACCAACACCTTTCGGGGGCCTGAGGGGATGGCACTGAAGGGTTGTGTCCTGGAGAAGCCCTGAAGTTCCAGCTGCAGCAGCACTTGGCTGCCTGTTTAGCAGCCTCTTCATTTCTAAGGGAGCATGTATTGGTGGTCCCTGAGCCCCAGCAGGCAGGTCTGGAGTTGCACAGGTTGTGATCCTCACAGTGAGCAATTTCCTTTGCATTTCTCACGGGAGATTCTGTGCTCAGCAGGGAGAATTACAGTCTGAAGCATTATTGTCTCTGTTTAAAGGACAATCTATGAGAGAAGGTTTCTTGACTGTGGAACAGAATGAGGCCCCCTATCCTTGTCTCTTTTCTTTTCCAGAACATTTGCCCCATTGTTTCAGAATAAAGAGAGTTTCCCCCAGTAATCCAGGGTGTTGGCATGCTGATTAGCAGTCAGATCACTGTGTGCATGCTGTAGCACACATGAAAGAGCTGCATTTCTTCTGCTCAAGCTGGACGTGGTTTCTTTAGTGGAAATAAAAGCTTGGCAGAGCAAGGTTTTCCAGGCTGAGAATTCAGGGTGCAGGAAAAAAGGCTGTGAAAATGCCCTTTCTTAAAATGTGTATTCCCAATATGAGCTATTGCTGGACCAGAGCAGTAGTAAATAGAATTTGCTGTTGCTGTTTCTTGTGGCTTCTGCACTAAGTACCCTGAAAGTTAGATGGTTCTTGATTTGGGTAAATTGCATGCCAGGTAATATGCTTCTACTTTTGACAGTATAATAATAGGAGAATTATTTGCCTTGTTGTTCCAGTTTCCCTATGTCACTCCAGCTCCACAGGAGCCTGTGAAGACGCTGAGGAGTTTGGTGAATATCCGCAAGGACTCTCTCCGGCTCGTGAGGTACTGCCATTGCCTGAACCCTTCTTTGTGTTCAACCCAGTGAGCTCTCATGCAGAGCTAAACTCTTTTGATAAGCTTATTTCCACATCCTTGTTGCTAGGTGTGTCCAGAGGTTTCTGCCTTGCCTTGTGATTGGAGCTTTCAAGTGGTTTATAGTCTCCTTATCCAAGCAATCTGTGTTTCCAAACAGGACCAGTGATGTGTCTGTCTCTGCAGGACAGACTAGAGTGATAAACAAAGCCATGAAATCGTTAGCATGAGCAGAATATATTAGTCAGGTCAATAAACTCTACAGACAGATTCCTTCCTGCATTCCTGTGCAAGGAGAAGCCAGGAAGGAGCTGATTCTGGTGCGAGCTGGAGGCCAGGAAGAGTGATCGGTCTTGAAGTGAAACTTCCTCAGGTTACTCCTGCTGCCAAGATAAAGTTTGGTCCTAGTGTTATGCAGTTGTTTAGATGGCTTGTGTCCCAGGCCTAGGGGAAGGAGGTCTGGATAATCATGGAGATCTGTTACCTCTCAGTGCTCCACACTGAGATCTCTCCCAGCATAGCCGGGTTGGACGCGTTGGCTCCTACCCGGAGCTGCAGCTGCCCTCCTTCCAACAGATGGCTGAGGCACAGGGGCCCAGCACACAGTGCTGTGTTTGGGTCTGAGCTCTGGGCAGATGTCCAGGCAGAGCACTTCCCAGCGATCCTGGAGTGGCTGTGGATTGTGTTTGAGGCACAGGGCTGAGGTCCTGGCAGGGTGCCCACAGCAGCTCCCAGCCAGGGTGGCTCTGGGAGCGTGGCCTAACGTAGGCAGTTTGGGTCAGAACCACACAAAGCCTTAGTTTGGTTTTATGTGAAAACTGAAGGTTAGGGAGAGACCTTGCTGTGGATGGAGCACTTGGTGTGGTTTGGTACATGCAGTGCTGTCATTTGCTCTCTGTGCTCACACGTCCTGTTTCCCCAAGCAGAGTTGCAGCTCTGGACTATTTGGAATGTAGTGTCTGTGCACATTGACAGTGGCCAGGTTTGCAACCATCTAATTCCTATCAGTTGTTTTCCTGCCTCATGAGCTGTCAGAGGCTCTTGTGCTGCTGCTGCCTGTGTTAGTGCTGACGATACCACCAACACGACTTGATTGAATTTTGCACTGATGAGACCCAAATTGAGATATTAATTGTCAGTCCCCAAGGGTACATTCTGCCTTATGCTTTCCTGCTGTTCTGGTCTAGAGGCTTTTCCTTCCTCCCTCTGTGCACGTAAAGACACTCTGTGCCCTCTCTGGTATGGTTTATTCACAACCAGTGCTTGAGGTTTGCACATTCTTTCCAGAATTAGCTAAGTTTAATTTACCACATCCTCCACCAAATAAAAGGGTACTGAGCTGAGGATCTAGGTGTAAAGTAGGTTCTGATGGGAAAGTCCTCACAAGCTCTTTGGTTTTTTATAGAATCCCAAAATGGTTTGGGTTGGAAGGACCTTAAAGCTCATCTCATTCCACCACCATGCATCCTGTGGTGGAGGTGGTGAGGGTCTGGGACTGCCTGTTATGCAGCCCTGGAGAGCCTTACATTGGACAGATCTCTGCAGAACCCCAAACAGGAAAGCTTCCATGTGATGATGATCTCCCCCATGAAAGGCAGTGCTGCTAGAGGTGTCACTAGTTCTTCCTTCAATGTCTGCTCTAACACTGGGTAATGAAGATCTCACTGTACTAAGTCAAGCAATACTTACCATTTATCTGCATGTCTACTACATTGGTCAAACTTCCTAATCTCCTCAAAGGATGAAATCAGGTTCAGCTCGACCTAGTCCTGTAAAATTGTCATGGCTGCTGTTAATTATATTTTTATCTTTTAATTCTTTAACAGACAAATAAAAAGGTCCAGCATTTCCATTGCTTTATCCAAGATTGATGTCAGACCAGGTGGCCTCAGCTCCCTTGGTCATCCTGCTTTTCCTTTTCCACCAAAACATTGGATCAGCTATTTGTTCTGCAAGGTGGTCAGTCTCTTTGCTGTATACACGTGGTTGTGAAGGCTCTGTGATGCACTTGTGTGCATGACCCAAAGGCACACCTGGCAAAATCACTGCTTGCTAACTTCGTGCATGCACCTGTGGCCACCTCACATCACCACTGTCTGTAGGGCTTGGTTAAATGTACACTGTAAGCTTCCAGTGCAGGTGGAGACAGAAGAGCTCTTGAAGCACCTGAACCACCCCTGAGCCTCCTTGTCTGCCACGTCCCTTGCAAAGAAAGGAGGAATGCAAAATGGGTGATTTTTGCCTTGTTATTCCCCTGATGTTGCATCCCACCATTCCTGCACCTTAAGGTGGAACATGAGCTGTCTCTGCCTCTCAAAGTATGCAACAAAGTAGTCCTTGCTTGTTTCTTGTGCCAGCTACCAGCTGGCAGAACTGCCTATGCAGTCTTTTCTTACCTAACTCCTTCCTTGCTATGTGACAGATCATGGAATGGTTTGGGTTGGTAGGACTTTAAAGGCCATTTTGTTTCACCCCCTGCAATGGGTAGGGACACCTTCCACTAGCTCAGGTTGTTCCAAACCCTATCCAACCTTGCCTTGTACATCTCCGGGGATGGGGCAAACCCCAGCTTCTCTGGGCAACCTGTGCCAGTGTCTCAATGTGTTCACATCACTCAGATGTGATTGTCTGGATGATGTTCCCCCATGTTTTCTAGGCAAACCTGCCCTGCTGCCCAGTGTGTTTCTCCTTTACAGCCTTTAAGTGCCATGGTTCTATTCTTTGAATGCAACTAGCTCTACGCTGTATATTGTGTCCAGGCTGCTGCAGATGTTCAGGCTCTCAGATCTTGGGACTTGCCTTTTTTTATACTGACATGTTGGGTGTATTTAGCTTGATTTACTGTTCTGATCTAGGTGAACCACTGGCAAAAGTCTGTCTGGAGCTCTGCAAGTCCTTCAGACAGGAATGTGGGTGTATGCTACAGTGGTTCAGTAGGGTTATGTTAGTACAAGTATGTGTGTTAGGGATTTGATTACACTGCTTTCAAGTTTTATTTTGCTCCTTCTCAATTGAACTGCTGAAGCTGAACATTTCATTCTTGTCCAGCATGTTGTTAAGTGAAATTCATGCTGGAATCCTCTGAGCTAGGCAGTAGTTATTATATCTCAGTGAATTTGGTAAACAAAGATTCCCTTAACAATTTTTAGATGGAATTATGCAGCTCTGCCTGGCCCATTTCTGGACACTTTTGACAGCACAGAGTATACATCGAGGCTGTTTGATAAGGGAGAAGTTGACTGATACTGGGAAGTCAGACGGTGCCAAGCTTTTCCTGACTAGTTCAGGTGCTTGGCTCTGACCCAGGGCTCGTGGCAATTAAGGTAATACCGATAAACAAGTGATAAACTGGAGCTGGGCAGCAAATGGAGTGCTGTGTACACCTCTGCCAGGCAACCTGCTGCCTTCACTGTTCCTACATGGTGTGGGAGCTGCGATGGTGCTCTTGGTGGTGGGGCTTGAGTTGTGATATCTGCTGCTGCCCTGCCAGTGAGTCACATCCATTTATCTGGTGCTTTGCTCTTCAAAGCAGGAAAACCTTCTCGTGGTGTGTGTTGGCTGCTTGTTTCAGGATCTGCTGGTCTCCCTGGCCACTCTGGGCACACCGTGAGCCACCACTCACGCTTGGCCATAGCTCACTGCCTCAGACACCTCCTTCAGACCTTGCTTCATGCCTCCTTCTTCACCAGCTCTGTGACCTGCCTTTTCCTGCAGCAGGGAGAAGGGGTAGCCCTGGGCAGTGGTGATCACACAGTAGGATCCAGCTGTGCAGTAGCTTATAGCCACGTTCTAACTCACTTTTATGTTCACTGAAATAACTTCTAAACTCAATTCTTGTACTGGTTATCATGTCTGTTACACAGTTGGATGTGTTAGTTTTTGTTCATACAATAAATAGGTGCAAGCTCCAGTCCTTGGCAGCATCAGAGGTTTAGCTGCTCATTTAAAGGTGTTTGAAGTTCCTATATTCGGATGCTTTCTGAGCTGAATATCATCTTCTGTGTGATACTGCAGGTACCTCTTGTTGAGCTTCAGGAGTTCTTTGTGCTACAGAAACCTTGGGGTTTTGCCTGTCTCACACCATTTCATTTGCAGTGTTGAAAGGATTAGGTTTTACATTTCTCAGACCATGCAGGATTTCTTTAGCCCAAATACTGAGCCCAATGTGTAGATGTAGAAGGAGAGAGAATGTTCTTCTCTTCAGGGTTTGACATTCAGATTTCCCTTTCTTGTCTCATTTTGTGTCCTGGCACTGTGTCCTGAGTGAAATCTCTCAGGACTGTTGTTACATAGTTCACTTCAGTGAAATCTTGGAAGAACCTTCCTCAGGGGAAAGAATGGAAATCTTCTGGGAAGCCTGAGGTGGGAGCACACGGTGCCATGCCTGCCCACAATGCCTAGACTGGAGTACTCTTGTCCTGGTTTCCATGGTGATCATGATATCATCTCATAAATATCTTCTCTAATCCTCTGGCACTGTCTTTCAGGTATAAAGATGATGTTGACAGTCCAACTGAGGAGAATGGGAAGCAGAAGGTGCTGTACAGCCTGGAGTTCACGTTTGATGCAGATGCCCGTGTTGCCATCACCATCTACTGCCAGGCTACAGAAGAGTTTGTTGGTGGCATGGCAGTGTAAGTCTGGGGCTTGTGGAAGGGCACAGGAGCCTGGGAGATGAGCTGTCCAACATCTCTCATTGATCACCCCTGAGGAATGCTGCCACAGATGGTGGAGGGGGAAATCTCTTCCTTTTCTGTTTTGTTTTGTATGTTCTGATAGCTTTGAATATTGCTTTTACATCCCTCCCTCATACAGCCAATATCTTCTTGTTCCCTATTTGGTTTGGGTTTTGGGTGTGGGGAAGCCATTCTGTGTGCAACAAAGGAGCTGTATATTTTGTCAGCAAGATGTTCCATGAAATTAAAGAAACCAGCCACCCTTCCCCTCAAATGCTACCTGTTTTCTTCCTAGATCACCTAACTCATTGCATTTCTGTGTTCCCTGTGATGGGAACATCTGGGCTACCAAAGTAAAGTTCAGTCTGACATTTACGTAGTGAGTCTGTGGAATTGAGGCCCACCCAAAGCCCCTTTTTGGGATAAATTACCACCTCAACACAGGCTGTTGGGAGATGGGAGAGGATTTACTTCCTGAAACCTTGTCTGTTTTCTGCCAGGTATACCTGTTAGTCTTTGGTTAGCTGTCAAGAGAGTGGTCAAAACCTCATCTGTGGGGTCTTTCTCATATGCTGGTAGTACACCCCTACAGATTTTAAAACCTTTTAATCTAAGTCAGCACATTTAAACCATTCCAATCAACACTGTATCCCATAAGATGCTGACAAATGTTCTCTCTCTGTTAAGAGCAAAGGTGGCTGCAATGTGCTCTGTCTGGTGTGGATTTGGTACATGTGAGCTGCTGGTATGGTATAGCAGACTTCCAGTGGCCATGAGGCAAAGAATTCTTTTTGCTCCATGGGTAAAGGAAGATTGAGGCTGCAGAAGCTCTTGGCTTCCTCTGGTAGAGGCTTTTGGCTGCCCAGTGGCTCTTGGATGCAGTGCTGATGGCTTCTGCAGTGGTGCTCTGGAGCTGGGGCTAAACTTACCCTTCATTGAAGGGATCTGCAGAGGTTTCAGCAGGGAGAAATATGTATGACAAAACATGGCTTATGTGATTTATGCAAAGTGTAAACATCCCACCAGTGACCAGTGTATTTTTGGAAAGGAGACAAGCTCTCTGCTCCCAGATGTGCATTCCTTTAAACTGGAGGATATCCTGACCCAGAAGTTTTGTTTAGGCTCCTTCCCTTCTTCTGGTGAAGCTTAAGGCTGCCTTTATGTTGGGGAGGTAATAAATGAGCTCCTTTTAAAGTGCTTGAAAAATCTCTCTCGACCAACTCTGAAAACACTTTCTGTTTAGATCCAGCTGTTCCCAAGTGGAGCAGAATGCAGCAGGATGCCTTAGAAACCCTGATAAAGTTTCCATGTTCTGTCTCTTAGATCCTTAGGTTTCCTGTGAATTTAGTGCTAGTGAAGTGTTGGAATGGCAGCCTTGGAGATTGAAGTCCTCTTTTCCTAATACAGGTACAATGTGGAGAAGTGGCAAGTGTCCCTTGTGCTGCCCTGCAGTGTTCCTTGGCTTGTGACCTCTGAAGGAAACTGTCAGTGGGCTAATGGGGTGAGCTGAGGGCCTTATGGCCAGGGTGGATGTATTCACTTCAGCTGTGGCTTCAATCAGCAAGTCTTGGTTTAAGTAATTGATTTTAATCTCATTTTGCATATTCACCTGTTGGTTTACCTCAAAGGAGAATTTTTTGTCACTGGTCAGTAACAGTGAAACATCTGAATTTGCAACTCAATGTGAGCTTCATATCTGCTTTGTGCTACAGTCTTTGTACTGCAGCCTGGAAAGAACATGCAGATAGTTTACAATCTATTTTTCAGACTCTTACTATTACATTTTACATCAAAATGGCAAAACCCCAAAGTTATTCTAAAAAGAAACATCTTTTATTTTGTTTAACTCATGTTTTGAAGCAGGCTTTGTTGGGCTGAAGGGCAGCCCAACACCAGCATTGCAGCATTCTTGATGGTTAAACTGCTCTGTGTTGGACCTTCAGGGTCTGTCTTGTCAAGTTGTCTTGAATAGTGACTGATTAATGGAAGTATTTCAGTTACCAAATAGAACTGTTTCTGGACAGAGTGTGGTTTTGTCCCTCTGTAACTAGTAACTCTCCTCTCTGAACTTTGTCAGTTGGTTGGAAGAGGAAAATACAGTTTCTGGTTCACTTAAGAACACGTTTCCCTGTCATTTAGGGCTGTGCACTGAGCCAGTGACTGTCACCAGTGCTATTGTCTGTTCTTTAAAGCTTGTGCAGCAAACATGGCCTACCCAATTGCTTTTGAAATGAAACTTACACAATTCCTAGGTAAAGTTTTTGGGAGTTCACACTGCTGTCAACTTCAAAGGATTATATTTTAAAATATGACTTTTTTTGATCCACCCTGTCCATGGCTCACTGAGAGAGGGATCTGTGTTAGCTGGTGGAGGAGCAGCCTGTGTTTCTGAACCCTGTATGCCTCTGCATGAAACCAGGATCAGCACTGATTTCCGTGCCCACGAGGTGTAGCTGTCAGGTCTGTGCTGCCCTGCTGGGGTGGCAGCAGTGCCCTGTGCACTAAACCTTCTCAGAAGTCAAAGCACCTGCATTCAGCTCTTGCTGCCACTGCTGGCCTTTTAGTTAATAGATCTTACTTTAGTTTCCTCATAGCCCAGGAGTGATGAACTGTCTGTCTCTGCTCTGGAGTTCTTGGACAATGAATGGTACCTATGTGTGGGGTGCTGGAGGCAGCACCAGAAGCCAGGGAATCTTTTGGAAGGCATGATCCTGATTTCATGCAGATGTGTAGGTAATAAGGGCTGGGGGAAGTGAGATACAAATATAGACTTTACAAGCTGCTTTAATTCAACCCAGGCTATTTTTCCGCGTGGAAGTGCTTCTGAAGCACGTCTTGGGGCTAGAGTGCAGCTGCCCAAGTAGGTATCTCTGCTTCTCTGGATTTGCTGGCTGCTAGTGAAAACCTTTTGCAGCTCTGATTTTAGCTTTGCAAAGCAATTCTGAAAGGGTAGTGCTATAATTACTTTGATTTATTCTTTTCAAATTCGAGTGGAAAAAAAGAAGTCTGGGCTGCATTCTTAGAGCTCTGAGCAGAGTGAGTGTGTTCTCAGTGCACTAATAGGAATGCAGCTTTCCCCTGCCTGAGCTGGTAGGTTTTCCTTTTCCTCAGTCTCTTTTGGTGCTAACAGCTACATTCCAGGAACAAGCATGTGCAAAAGCTGTACTGTGAATAAACTTAAAACCTTTCCTATTGCACTTGATTGGGATGAAGATGCTCTTTAAAACAAAACACTTTTTTTTTTCCACTCTCCTAAATGGATGCTAAATCCTAAAATAGGAGAAACTTTCTGGACCTTTGTCCAAAGCAGGAATTTTCTCCTAGCTCTCAGCCTGCAGCATGGCTCCTTAGAAGTGCTGAACAAGTTATTCTTGCTTCTCTGCTGGAACCACCACTGATCCTGATAGTATCAGTGCTCCTGCCAAACTCCTGCTCCAAACATGGTTGTGTTCTGCAGTTTGGGGTGAGAGGAGGGAGGGGAGGGAAGGTGATTCTCTCTGAGCAGAGACATTGCTTGTTGTGGAGCCTCTGCTCACCTGAGAGCCACAGCACAGTGTGTCTTGGCCTGCCTTTGGGATTAGCTGATGCCCATGGCCAAAGGGAAACCTTTCTGCAAGGAGGGAGCTTCCTCTTGGACTTGTCTGGGCTCTGTTTAGAAGCTGGTGCTATACCAGTCTGTGCTGCCTGCCCTAACCTGTCTCAAAGGAGTGTTCAGCAGCCTTTCCCATGTAGTTGTGCTGGGAGATCTGCTCAGCTCTGTTCTTTCCCAGCCAAGATCTTGGGAACATGTATCTCCCAAGGGCTGTCTGCCTCTTGTCCTGAACTGCTGAACTCTGGGTCTCACAGGGAGCAGCGTCCTCACTGCTGTGGGATCACAGGTGATCAGTAGAGGCTGGAGAAGGTGAAGATGTGGCTGTTGGTGGATGTAGAGGTGTGTTCACCTCTGCAGCCCTGTGCCCAGGGGAAGGTAACCAGCACTTTCTGGTGCTAGTGCAGATATCTGTAGAAGTTTCTTGGATGCCATTTGGAACTAGTTTAACTTTGGAGTGTGCTGCTGCTCTCTCCTTTGAAATACTTTTTGCTCGATTACTTTGTGGTGAGAATTGAAAGAGTAAAATACAATAGTTTTCAGAGAACCAGCTGGTGCATCACCCCAACAGAGATCTCCCTATGTCCCGTCTCTTTAATGGCATGGGGCTGGCATTGACCTACCTCTGAACAGCTCAACCCCACAATATCTTCAGTTTTGTTTATTTTTGTGATTCTGTCCATTTTATCTGGTTTTGGAAATCTGCAGAAACATGGAGGTGTGTGAGTTTTACATCGACTACTCGGTGGTGATGGCCCAGAAGCAGGTAAATTCCCCCCAGATGAATGAGAGGGGGCTCTGCATTGCATTTCTCCTGCAGGGCTGGCAGCAGCTCATAGGGAGTAGTCTCCCAGTTTGTAGGCTGTCTCTTCCTGCAGTAACTGGTTCATGTGTTCATAGCCTTAGATATCTTTGATTTGGGAGACAACTGTGGGTTTGGATCAGGCTGCAGAGAGGTTTGTGTTCTCTTTTTGTGTGTACTCTGAATGCATCCCTTCCTTTTCTGGCACAAGCCTTGATGTGCACACTGTCAGCCTGCTCCTGGGAGGGCCCCCGGGACTTTTCCAGCTGTAGGTATCCTGCTGACTAGCAGGAAGGATTGCGTAGTTCAAACATGACAGCAGTGGTTGTTTCCTCAGGGGAAGAAGTCAAACCAGCCCTGTAGCTGGAAGCACTTAACAGAGCCAGTTCTAAAGGCCTGAGCAGTCCAGGCAGAGCAGGAGCTCATGATAAATGTGACGTGAGAGGTTTGAGTCTGGCAGCCCATTCTTATGAAAAATATCTTCCTTTTCGAACACAAAAAATTCCTATATCCTAGTCATGTTGCCAAGCTCTATTTTCTCATTCTGAAGAGAAAACAGGAGGAAAATAGGTCAGTGTAGCTCTGCAATCCTTGCCCTTTTCAGAGCTGTGCTGTTTGTGTTGTCGATGTGCAAATGGATATAGTAAAAAAAATGCAATTTCCTTGTTTGTTTTGCAAGGCCTAGTGCACTCATCACAGACATCCTCCCCTGCTCCTCCAAGCTGATGGAGGTGTGACCCTGAAGTGATTCTCTGCTCTGCATGTGGAAGTTTGAGGAGTTGGGTCACCAAATGAAACCAAACGGGTACCTCAGCTCACAGCTGTTGTCATTCAAGCTTGCACAGGAGACAGAGCACTCAGATATTCCTCTGGCTATTTAATAGCCTCTGTCTGTTCAGGGCCTTTGAAAGGTGATTGTGCTGCTTTTGGCTGTGGCCTGTGGTGATTATTATGAATTCTTTGTGCAAAGATTTCTTGTATGTGAAGAAGTCAGAGGCAAGCGCTGGTTTTCGCTAGGCAGAAACCTTTACAGCCCAGGCCTGCTTTGATCCAGGCACACACCAGTCCCTGAGGGAATGCTGTGGTGTGCAAAGTTCACAGGCTGGAGAGCCAAATTCTGTAGATTTCACCAAGCAGACTAACCCTCTGTCTTTAATAAGAGTTGTGGCCTTTGTGTGTAGCTGTTGTGTGAGCTTTGAGCGTGGGGTTCTCAGCAGCCCAAGGCAGAGCACTGCAGGGGTTGGAGTCTGAGCTGCCTGGGGAGGTGTTTGGTTTTTTCTGCTTGGACTGGAAACTCAGTCCTAGAGGAAGCAAGACTGTCAGGGGCTGCAGTGCACCAACTTAGTACCCAGTTAACCTCCAAACTCCTTGTGGGAGCTCTTGTTGCTAGTGATTCTCATGCTGTCAGGGCTACCTGAGCAAACAAACAGGTTTAAAAATGTGACTGAGGATTTCTGTTTGGTTCTGACCGAACAAAACAGACACCACTCACTTCTCCACTGTCCTGAGCTGCCAGTGATTGCAGAGTGGTTTTGTTGGACATCCCTGTGGATGGAGGCCTGGTCCAGTGCAGTCTGAGCAATAGCAGCCCAGACATTCAGCTTTCAGCCTTTGTGCAGGGAGAGGCTGTGTATTGCTGCTTCTCTGCTGTCCTTTATTCTTCAATACATGCTCTCTCCTTCTGTAACACACCTGCACAGCACTGCAGCACTGCTCTGTTGTTGTCTCCTGTAAGCCCCCAGCAGCACAGGCAGGGAATAGAAGACTCTGAATACAGCAGATGCCAACCAGAGGGGCTGGGGAGGGGTAGAGAGCACGGAGGCCCTGATATGTAGGATACTTGCTTTGTAACAGGTTGCCAAGCTGTTCTGTGCAGCACGGGGAGTGTGTGCTTGTGCACGGAACCTGGGCATCACCTCAGAAAGGTGATCAATCTCCATGGCAATCTGGGGTCACCATTCTTCCAGGGAATTCTCCAGGCTCTTTGCCTGCTGGTGCTCAGCAGCCTCAGCACTGGCTGCTGGCTGGAGGTCTCCAGAGCTGTCTGGGTGTTCAGATCCAAGGCTGACATGCATTTTGGCACTGGGGGCTCAGCAGTCACGCAGTCTGAGGCATAAAGCTCACTTGGGGAAGCCTTCTTAATAATTTTGTCATACTCTTCAGCTCAGAAGATCTATGTGCCTGGTTTATTTCTTTTCCCAGGGATGCTGAGAGCAGCAAGTCAATGTGAGTATTGTTCTGCCCTGTCCTCCTTGGAACAATATTACTTGTTTTCCTGTTGTAGACTGGTTTGGGCTTCTGGTGCTGTGAGTGTGGGTCCTCCAGCCTTCCTGGCACTCAGCAGCAGCATGTTTACACCCCTTTTCCAGCTCCACTCTCTCCTCTGCACTTTATTTCCAGTAAGTTCCTGACTTGCTGTCACCTTAGATAAGTCACCCTCCCATCCCCTGCTTTCCCAGCTGTGGAGAGAGAACCGTGCCTCTCTGCAGAGCTGGGAAGCTTTGAGAACACCACAAAAGGAGCTAGATACAGGCTTGCTCTATTCATTGTGCCTGACAACTCAGTAAATAAAACTTCACTCAATTGCTTGCTCTGTAATTCACATATAAAAGACCTGTCATTCTGATCTCTCCCACACCATGCTTGAAATGCAAAGGATGGAGTGAGACCTTCTAGTAAAGCAGCACAATTTCAGCACAGTACAGAATGGGCTTTGAGGGTCTTGTCATAAATAACACAATGCACCTGCCTTGGCAGGAGGAGCAGAATGCATGTGGTGGACCTGCCCTTGTCATGGCCTTCCTGAATTTAACGTGGCTCTTGTGACACTTGGTAAGACTTCTGGATCCTCAGAGGGTGCAGGAAATACACACAGCTTTCCAGAGAAAGGCAGCAGTTCATGCCAGTTTCATGCCTGGCTTTTCCTCTTTGAGTTTGAAAGGAATTAATAAATATTCATCATCTTTTTGTATCCAGGTTCTTACACCTTCAGCTGCAAAATACATCCCAATCACTGTGCTTTGAGGCTGTGTGTTACAGTGCAGGCTGGCCTGGAGCTCTGATGGCAGCTGCTGTCCCTGTGGGCTCTTGCACTCTGGCAGCAGGGAGCAGGTAGCTGCCAGAGCTATAGCTCTTGAGTGTGAAGTTTTCACAGCATCACTTAAAGCTGAGGTTTAAGATTCAGGCATGTCCTCTGTAGTCACCTCTGCCATCCTCCAGCCCAATTTCACATCTGTGGTGTGATGCTCAGTTCTGCAGTTCTTGGCTGAGTTGTGGGCTGTTCCAATGGGGTTTGTTTCTCCTCCTCTGGAACTGAGCTGCTGTCAGCAAGGCTCCAGGCCTGGAGCTGCTGGTTGTGCAGGGGTTGGGGGCAGTGCTCGTGCGGAGCTCTGCTCAGGAAGTGATGGACAGAGAGGATCCCAGGACTGTGCCCAGCTGTTAAAGCTTTTCTTTTAGAGCTGGAGCTAGGCCTGTCTTCTCACCATGCTGAGGGAGGCTGTTGTTGCTGCAGTGTAAGTCTCTTGGGCAAGAAATCTCTCACATTCTCTCTGGGTTGTCAACGTGCTCTGAACATGCAGTTGGTACTTTGACAAGAAAGGCTTTGATGGTAAAACCAGATGCTCCCACCCTGCTTTGGGGTTTGCTGCCTCCTGTCCTGTGCCAGAACCAGCACAGTGAGAGGCTGTGCACATCTTTCACCCTCTGGAAAGGGGTGAAACTTCTCGATCTTGTTTTGCTGCTGATGCCCTCTGTGAATCACACTGTCTGTAGTGATAGTCAGCAGGCAGGGAAACATCTCCTGGGGCAGACAGCACTGGGCAGGCTCTGGGGGCAGGAGATGGTGGATGGTAGCTGTGTCCCATTCCAAAGCTGTTCATCACAGCCTGGCTGTGCTGGTGTTTCAGTGCAGGCCTCAAGACAGTGGAAGAATTGTGACTCTTCTCTAGGTGACTGATGTGGAGGATGGTTGGTGTCTCTCAGATAGTGTTGGTAGACCTGCAACACCTCTGGGGAAGCACAGGAGGACCAGAGGAGTGAATTGGAATGGCTGTGGCTTACCAGGATGGTGTGAGCCAAGCAGCATTTCTCACTGCAGAGCTGGCCCACGGGGGCACAGGAGAGCTCTCAGCACCATGTTGGGCTGTGTGTTCCCACTGTTAGATCATTGCTTTTTCTTCCTGAGCTTCCTGCAGAAAACAGGACTGTGCTGGGCTGACAGCCAGTGTGGCCTAGCCCTGGATTTAGGGAGCTAGCCTTTGCCAAGCTGCTGCACCCCACTGTGCTCCTGACACCTAGTGTTGCCAGGAAGGTCAGTATGGACCCAATCAGACCTTGCCTGTCTGCGCTGCTTTCCTTTCCTGTGCTCACCTTCTTGCTTTGACCCTTCCCTTCCCGTTCTATATCCCCACTGAATGGCTGCAGTCCCTGCCAGCTCTGCCCTTAGAGCTGCCACTTGTGATTCCTGAAAGGCCAACAGGCATGAGTGAGTGAGAGCCTAGCAGGGAACAATCGTTGGTTACAGCAAGTTTACAACAGGCATGAGTGAGTGAGAGCCTAGTAGGGAACAATCATTGGTTACAGCAAGTTTGCTTTTTCCCCTCTCTCCAGATACAGCACAAAGAATCCCTCTCTGCAGTCCGAGACTGTTCACTACAAGAGGGGGGTAAGCCAGCAGTTCTCCCTGCCTTCCTTCAAGATTGACTTCTCAGACTGGAAGGATGATGAGGTAACTGTCTTCTTAGTGTCCTTTTCTTTCCACACCCCTGTTGTCCCAGAAGCACTGCTCTCTATTTAGGGCCATGAAGTCATGGCTGGAAGACACTTTCTCCCAGCTGCCATGGCATGTTTGGTGGGTACAAGATGAATGAGGCCCTGGGAGGAGCAGTATGGGAACTTGGCAGGTAGATCAGACCAACAGGGAGGAAATCCAAGGAAGTGACTTTTGATATCCCTGATCACAGAGATTGGCACTGGAGCTTTTCCTGGCGGAAGCTGCCACTCCTCAGCCTTCCTCTCCCTGCCAGCCAGAGAGCTGTGGGAACAAATGTCTGTCTCCACCTCTTCGTTTTGGTGGGGTTTAGTTCTAAGTTTTGGAGGTTTTTGGCTGATCCTCTGGTGCAGTGGTCTCCAGAGTAAGGTGCATGCAAGGCAGTTCATTGGGGTGTGGAAAGAACTTAAGTAATGCATGTATATAACTCATAAATGATAAGTACACACATGTGCTCAAAATATGTTGCTGATGCAATGGAATTGCTTGGATACGAATCTCTAGAGGAGTCCTGTTCTGCTTAAGGGCCACATCTTGCATGACACACTGTCTCAGTTCAGTGTTGTGGGGAGATACTTTACCTTCTGGGGCATATTCACACTGGTGCAATGATGCTGAGTAAGGGAATGCCTTTCTCCTCATAGTTCAACCTGTAACTACAAACAGACAAGGGCTTGGTTTTAATTAAGCTCTGTTGCTTTTACATGACAAGAGTTGTGGAATCCTCTTCATTTTGGTATCTTTGTAAAATTCCAGCCCAGGCTGGAACTCTCCTCTCTGCTTTGTGAGCCTCTGAGCTTTGGCCCAAGGGCTTCCCCTGCACGTGACATAGGGCAGAGAGAACTTGGTCTTTCTCCTGCTCTATGCAGAATTGACATAAGAAATTTCTGACGAAGAAGAGTTGGTCTGTAACTACTGCTAATATATTTGTTCTGTGAACTCCTTTCCCAGGAAATCAACACTGACATAGTGTTTGATTCCTGACCCAAACCTGTGTGAGAGTATTGTCTATGTGAACCCTGGGAGATACCTAGTGAAAAAAAAAAAGAAAAGAAAGAAAGAAAGAAAGAAAGGAAAAAAGTAATGTTTCATGTATTTTGAGACTGAATAGCTATTGTCCTGGAGTTACAGCTCTAACTATAACCAGTCCCGTGCCTTAGCAAATGTTACCAAGAGCCTGCAGTGTCTGGTCTCCTGATGTCTTGGCTTCTCTGCCAATAGATGATTTCACAAGTTCAGCCTACAAAAGCCTGGAAGAGCTGCTTTTCAATCCCTTCTGTTGTCTGAGAGAGCTGGAAAGCAGGAGCTCAGATCCTTTTTTTCTTAAAGAATTGAGAAGCTTAATTTTCACTTTTGTTCCTGTCAGCAAGGTTTTAACTCGAGTACTAAAGTCATGTCTCTTTGACAGCTTAAAGGGAGAGAAATTGTGGAAAAGGGAGCTTCTAGCTCCCTTTGCTTGTTCTGCTGCATCCTCTAGTTCCTCTTTTTTCATTGGAGCGGGAGAAAATGTGGAGCAAGCACTATGATTCAAAAGACTTTCTCCTCCCATATCAGCTCTGGGTACATATCAGTCCTTGTCCTACATCTCAACTGGACCCCAAAGTGCAGCACTTTTATCTGAGGCAGCTGGCAGTGTCACCACTCAGCTGTGTGCAATAGCACATTTCACATTGCTTTCCAACTTAGTTGTCCAAAAAAACTCAGATCTACTTCATGTTTTTGCTCAGTGTACAGCTCAGATATGATGTAGTTTTTGCCTGGCCAACAGGAGGGAAACTAATGTTCTATTGGGTTCTGGGGAAAGTTTTGTACAGGTTCACATTGTCTTCCTAACAGAGTAGTTTGCTTGGAAGTTATGGAGTATGTCTTGTGTTGAGTCAGCTGTGTTCAGGGCTAAAAATGAAGGTGAAAGGGTCCCTTAAAGAGGCCTTTTGTTTGAGAACCCCAAGGATTGTACCATAAAGCAACCTCAGTCCTGTGGAGTGACTTTCCCTTCCAACAGCCAAATAACAACTTCTGTCCTGCAGTTATAAATCAGAGCAGGAAGCACAGCGAAACCATAAGGTCCTTTCAGTTATTTCAATCCATTGTCCTTGATGAATTTTCCCTCTGTGGTATGCCATAACAGTTCAAAAATGCAAGCTGGAAAATAGTGGCTCAAGGAGTCTCTTCTGTAACAAATAATGAGAGGTTAAGTGAGATTTTTGTGCTCACTCTGTTTCTCTGCTGTTTGGGAAGGAGAATAGGTTCTGGTAGCTAAAGGAGTAATAAAACATCAAACCATCACACAGGGTGAAAATCAACATCCCTCAGGTTTGAAGACCAGCTAGGTCACATCATAAGGTCTTCCAGCACTTTCTGTTTGGAGTCCCCACACCTCCTGTGGAAGGCTGGTGAGCTCTTGCAGACCAAGAAGTGCCTGAGCTCTTGGCTGGAGAGATCAATGCTGCATATGATGCTGGAGCTTCAGGAAAGTGAGGGAAGGAAGCCTCAAGGCAATACCTGAGTGGTGCTGATTCCTTCGAGTTGTGTCTCAGTTTTCACTGGAAATCTGAAAACAGGCTACCTGGAGCACCGTGGGGAAATGGCTTCTTTTTCTCTCTTGGCAAGAAATGAGACAAAAAACCTCCCAAGTCAGTAATTAAAAAAACCACCATAAATCCAGTCTCTGAGCCACTTCCGTTCCTGGCACAGGACAGTGTTTGTAAGTTGCTTTTTCCTTGTGTTTCTGAGATGACACAGAGCTTTTGAAGTGCTTTAATGAAGTGCAGGGCAAAGGGAGAAGTCGAGTCTGTTTTCCTTGCACTCACGTGAGATCTTAAATTTTCACTCTTGTCAATTAGAAGGTCAAGGACTTGAATTTCCTAACATGCCAAGAGATGGAAATCAGTTTGGTGTTTCCTTAGAGTGCAATGTGGGCTTGAAGTTTTACAGATTTCCCTCTCTGCCTTCAGGAACCTCTTGCAGGAATCAGGCTCTCTGTGTGCTGTAGGGAGGACAGGGTGTGCTGTAGAACTGTGGCACCAGGGATATTCTGAGAAACTTGTCCTGCGACAAATCATTCAGGAGACTTTTAGGATGTATGGATTAGTGAGAATTAATTTCCATTTTAAATTCCGATGGAGATCCTTTGCCTTGCTAGCCACAGTTGGTGCTTAGTGTTGTGCCAGTGTATGTATGTTGTGGTTATCCCTAGTGACTCCCTTCCAGAGCTGCTGCTGAATTGTAAACCCTTCTGCTCTGTTGAGAGCAAGGCCTGAGAGCTGTCAGAAGGGAGCTTCACTCCTCTGGTGCTAATGTGATCCTAAGCATTGTCTTCAGGCAAGTCTGGTGTGAGTTGTGTAACCTCATCTCCTTCCTTCCCTCAGCTGAACTTTGACTTGGATCGTGGTGTGTTCCCTGTGGTCATCCGAGCGGTGGTGGATGAAGGGGATGGTAAGCATGGAGCTGTTCTCCCTCTGAGCTTGTGTGACTCCCTCAGGACAGGCTTCCTGCTGCAGGGATGAAAACCTTGCACTTGTAGCAAAGGCTTGGGGAGCCTTTCTGGAATGAAAACACCTCAGGAATTCACCAGAACTTCCCTTTATGAAAAGGCTTCAGTTAACCACACGTTCTTACATAAAAATATGCTCTTAAAAATAGCCTTATTTTTACAGGAAAATGATGAGTTGTTTAGTCTTGGATTAGTGCTTAGGAGAGCTCCTGGCTCTGCCACACCATTGCCAGGCACAAACTGGAGCTAATAACTTCTTTCCTCTTTGGGTTTTGCATTTTCAGTTTGTAAGGCAAGGAGGGAGTTGGTGTTTCCTCCCTCTGACAGGTTAAGTTGTCTTCATAAAAACCTGGAAATGGGCAGAGGAAAGGAAATGGCTTTCAAATGTTTAGGCCACTCTTCAACCAAAGCAGCTTCATTCAGCATTTGAAATTCTCCTGCTTTCTCTGAGGGTGTTGAATCATTACCTTTGAGGAGAAATAATTGTTGATTTTTAAAAAGAATAATTTAATTTTAATAATAATTATAGCAATATTTATTATTGTGGCAGAAATTAGATTACTTACTATATAAGTAGATTAATGATGATTGTTGATTATTATTAATTACTAATTATGATGCATTGGGGATTATCTTTGAAGCACATTGCTGTTTTAGAGAGGGAAGTCCAGGAAATGTTTAGGCTGTTACTCCCCTTGCACAGCATTTCCCTTCAGGGGTGTGTGCTTTTGGGCTCTGCATGTTTGCACACATTCTGAGTGTGAGCAGTGCAAACGGCTCAGGGAAGTGAGGTTTTCTCTGACATTGGGGATACACATTCTGAGTGTGAGCAGTGCAAATGGCTCAGGGAAGTGAAGTTTTCTCTGACATTGGGGGTGTCATGGTCAGCAGGAGCAGCATTTCACTTCTGTTACCTTTTGTACAAAATCTAAGATCGTTAGGAAGGGAAAAATCCCTTGGTCAGGTCAATCACTTGCTCAGTTTCTTGTGTTATAGATGTGAAAAAGCCCAGAAACTCATTATTTTCCAGCCTTCCAAGCAGACAGAAATAGAACTGGATGAACCAATTTAAAGTGTGACTAACAAAGCGCAGTGCAACATAAAGGAAATTGTTTCTAAAGTGCATCTATTTTTAGTGATTTCAGGCACTGTTAGCAGAGTTGACATACATGTGTGTTTCTTGACCATAAAAATGAAACACCTTCCTCTGTTTATGGAACTTTTGGTGAGGTATTTATGCTTCTAATGTTGGGATGTCTAGAAGGATCAGAAATAGAGCAGGAGGCAGCATGGGAAGCATACATTTATGCACATACCATGCCCAGGCTTAGCCAACACTGTACTCTCATCTATTTTAATAACCTGGAAAGGCAACTGCTTTTAAATCCTCTCCTGGAAAGTATATCAGCACAAAATTATGTGACACTGAGTGAGATTTGAGAAAGTTATTGTGTGTTTTGGTTCTTTTTTTTTAACTGATGGAACTGAAAGGAGCTGGTCTTGTGTGTTTGGAGCACCTGGAAAATTGCAGCTGGGCTGTGACTGCTGGTGTTAAATAACATCGAATGGTAAATTAAAATAGCAGTCAAGGAGATGTTGGTTTGGACTGAATCCTGCCAGGAGATGTTTGTGTGCCTCAAAGAATGTGAGCAGGCAGTGTTAGCCCTGTGCCATGGCTGCCAGTGGGATTGCTTCCAGGGAAAGGTACAGAACCCTTCAGGGAGGGAAGGTGCTGCACAGAGTGAGCCAGAGCAGCCTTGCTCTTGTCTGGCAATGAGGGCAGCAAGCAGATGGATTCCTGATTTTAACCCCTGAATTATAAAGTAACATTTAACATAATAACATTTCTGCATTCCATGATGTTCCTGAGTGCACCCAACCTCAGTTATACAGAAAGTCTGCAGGCAGGGGCTCTCCTCTCCCACACTCTGCTGTTTCCACATGTGAGCTGTGTGCCACAGTCCAGTGAATGGTTCCTCTGTTGCCTCTGCTGTTCTGGGAGCCCAAGGGAAAATAGGGAACTCCTTTCCCTTTTACACAACACAGAAGTTGCTTCTTCCAGCTGTTACCTTCCTGGCACAGAGCTGTCCACCAGCTCTGCTGCCTGTGCTGAGCGCAGCCTGGCTGCTCCCTTGTCCAGGCAGGGTGAGGTGGTCCATGCCTTCCCTTCACTCCCTGGCTCCTCCATGACCTCTCCCATTGCCACATGATGAGTCTGAACAGAATTCAGCAAAAGGCTCCAACCAGTTGGAGCTGAACAGAACCTTCAAGTCCTGAGTGAGAAAATCTGGGATTGTATCTCACCTTCCTCTGTTCTGTGCTCTGTGTTTACTGAGGGAGCCAGGAATGCAGTACTGAAAGCTCTGGCAGCCCTTTCTCAGTGCTGTTGGATTAAGAGGGAAGCCTTGAGTTGGGAAGACATGATGTTTGTCTCAGGGAAAAACTAGCAGAGAACTGGACAGAGGTGTTTCAGTGTCCAAAATGAGAATGATACGTTTTATAAGCATGTCTAGTAGAATGAAATAAAGTGATAAGTAACAGGGCTGGAAGTGCTGCCAGTTGGTGTTAAACTACATGGATCTGTGATAAATTCAGATAATTAGAACTAGGAATTTGAGGGGAGAGCAAAATCCCATTGAGCACTTTTGTTTTACTTTCCAACCTCTGAAAATGAAATGGGATAGTTTGGAGCACTCAGGCCCCCAAAGGCATGGCCGTGTAGGGCCCACTACAGAGCCCAGCAGGGTTTTGTTCCTGCTGTGCAGGGGTGTGAGATGAACCAACCTGACCACAAGATAAAAAAGGTTTTAAAGTGCAGGAGGAGATGAAAATAGAGTGGATCAGAAATTGTGAGTGGGCTAAAATTCAACTCAGGGTAGTATTATGCTTGCGCTGTTTGCAAGGTTTAACCAGGTCTGCTCTTTCTCTTTGCAGTAGTGGTTGAGGTCACTGGTCATGCCCATGTGCTTCTGGCTGCATTTGAAAAGGTAAATGAGTTAATTTTTTCCCCTCTGTGCCTGTTTTTGTGTATGTGAACATTTCCACGGGTCAATAGTTTGCACTTACATAACACTTAGGAGTCCTGGCCCCTGACTGGGGTTCCTGAGTGCTGCTGTAGTACAAAGAATCACTTGCAGCAGCTCCTGTAGAGCCTGTAATTATCATTTGTACCTGAGCTGGTCACTCAAGTAATTGCAGCTGCTGTTTCCTGTGTGTGGGTTGAGGGAGTGCCTCTGTGGCTGTGACGTTGGAAGGTGGAAGGTGTTGACCATGGCTACTACTGAGCAGTTTTCCAGGGCCTTGTGATTTCTGCAGAACTGGATCTGCTGAGTCCAGCCCCTGTTGCACCACTGTTTAGCCTTAGTTTACACATAGGACCAAGCCCTTTGGAAGAATTAGGATACATCCTGCATAAATTGTGACTTTTGAAGTGTAGGTCCCTAAATCCCAGGGAGGTCCTTGTTAATAAGCACTGCTGATTCCCAGAGCTTACTCAGAGGACAGACAGACCAGCTGGACTTGGTAATTTGCTATTTATATGTATCTTTAAGATCAGAATAATAACCTTGATCCTATGTGTAGTTTGACCTTGGAGCTCCTCCAAAGGCAGAAAATTGACACTTTGTGTTTCCCTGGAAAACAGAACTGTTTCAATTTTTTTGGTATGATGTTGTTGTCCCTTCTGAAACTCCTTCAGCAAACAGATGCACATCTGCAGCTGTTCACAGCAGCAGAGCCTGCTGCAGTGTCCCTGAGCCTCCTTTGCTGCTTTCTTGACTGTGGCAGGGAGTTGATTTCTTTCAGTGTAGTTGGCCTTTGTGGGTGATGGGGAGAGTAGAGCTGGCACACTATTCCTGTCTCTGGTCCTGGCACCAGGTGTGGACGGAGCTGTTCCAGCTGTGCCTGTGCCACTGAGCAAATGGAAGGCTCGAGGTAGTCACCACAGCTCTGAGGGTGCAATGTGGAGCATGTGGGATTTGTTTCTGACTCCATCCAGTGGACAAACCTTGTTCTCAGCCTCTTGCTGGCTCCCTGCTCTGTCAGGGCTCTGGCCTCAAGGGTGACTCTGTCACTGGGTGTTATTTAGGGTGTTAACAAGTATCCCCTGCCAGGTCGTGCTGCACTGGCTGAAGAAGAAGAAGTCTGCACCCAGCTGGACTGCTTGAACCTGAAAGCATCCAATGTGCCAATGTGGGGAGTTGTGTGTGTGCTCTGACCCACCTCAGCCAGGTTTAACTGGGGCCAAGTCTGTCTGGCTCTGCACTGGAATAGACAAAGAGCATTCCCATACCCTGTTCCACTAGCTGCTGGGAGGAATTGCTGTCCAGGCTGTCCTGGTTATACATATCCCACCCTCCCCATAGCTAGCAGACACTAACTCTGCCCATTAGCCTGTTTTAATTTGTACACTTCAGCTGTTTAATGCATTTCCTTTTCCCTGCCAGCACGTGGATGGCAGTTTTTCCGTGAAGCCGTTGAAACAGAAGCAGATCGTAAGTACCTGTTTCCTGTCTACTCTTGGTTAAAGACTTGCTGGTGTCCCACAGGTGCCTGACTGTACCCAGTGGGAGGGTTTAGTGTTCACTCAGAGCTCATCTCATTAGCTCAGATATCACAAGCAAAGGAAACAAGGTGCTGGCCCTTTTGTACCCCAGCCCTGTATGGTGCACAGAAGGTGGGTAATACCTTATCAAGATTGGGTGTTCAGGCACTGGAATATTGCCCAGGGAGGTGGTGGAGTCACCATCCCTGGAGGTGTTTAAGAGGTGTCTGAATCTGGCACTGGAGTATATGGTTTGGGGTTTAGGTGTTATGGCAGTGACAGGTTAATGGTTGGACTCAATCTTAGAGGTCTCTTCCAGCCTTGATGATTCTGTGACTCTCTGATTCTAAGATTGAAGTTGAATCCAGTGCTGCATAGATAGAAATACATAAGCAACTGCAAGCTGCTAAGATTGCCAAGAATTTCAGCTTCTGAAAAGAAATCTGGTAGTGATCCTGCTGCAAGGATCAGCTTGAAATGTCTTGGAGGAAGAGATGAGATTTTGATGGTTGATTCCTTCAGCTTTAAGTGTGTGCTGTGTTTTGGCTTTAAATGAGTTTCACAAGACTCTCTACTCTTAAGATCTTCCTTCCAGTCCTCAGGTCAGAAAAGAGCCACAAACAGTATCAATAATCATATATCAAAATCACATTTGGTAATTCTCTGTGCAGAGACTCATGGCCTTTCCTGCAGACTTGCTCATGCCTAGTGCCAGTGAGTTGCCACTCCAGCCTGACATCTGTTCTGAGCCCTGTGTGTCCTAGACTGGCATGTGCTCCCCTCCCTCCCTCAGTGCTCCCCTTGGCTGTGTTGCAGCACAGTCTCCTGGGGAGCTGATTGATCTGGGTCCCACAAGTATTTTGAGCAGTCATACTGTTTTGGAAGGGAGGCTGTTGAGGGGGTGAAGGCAGGTTTGAGGTGGGAACACCCAGAAGAGCTGTGCTGGGAGAAGGAGCAGAGCACTGTGATGCCAGTGGTGCCTCTTCCTCACAAATTTTTCTGATCAGAGAAGAGTGTTCATCAGCTGATGAAAAGTCACTTCTTTATCCTGCTTGTGGGCCAGTGTGGGGTTGCTGTGCACACTGAGGCAGTGTGTGCACCCTTCTCCCTTTAGCATTCCAGACTCCCCAAATGCAGGGCATTTTTGCTGGAAGCTCTCTCCAGGGAAGTTCCCACCCTGCCACAGTATGGTTAGCTGACTGCTGCAATGAAACAGTGTGTGCTTGTCTGTCTTTACTGGCAGAGCATGTAACCTTCCCACTCAGTGTTTGGTTGTGGGCACTATTTTTTTACTGGCAGCTTGTAAAATGTAATGCTTGTCAGTCCTCTCCTGTGGCTTTTGAAACAGAAGGAAGCTCTTGTTAGAAGAACACACAGCACTGAAACTGAGATAGCATCTGCACCCTTAAGAGCATAGAGCAGAGGAGTAGAGTCTGTCTGAAGTAAACCATCTGTATAACACTGTGCATTCTTCACCATCACTGCTTTTCTCCTGCCTTCCCCTCCCTGCCATTGCCCGGATTGTGGGTACCTTCTGTGGGCATCAAAGCTCTTTGAGAGCAGGATGCAGCAGCCCATGAGCTGAGCTGCTTTGCGCTGAGATCAGTTATAGCATAGAGCAGAGGAGTAGAGTCTGTCTGAAGTAAACCATCTGTATAACACTGTGCATTCTTCACCATCACTGCTTTTCTCCTGCCTTCCCCTCCCTGCCATTGCCCGGATTGTGGGTACCTTCTGTGGGCATCAAAGCTCTTTGAGAGCAGGATGCAGCAGCCCATGAGCTGAGCTGCTTTGCGCTGAGATCAGTTATAGGTATCAACC